GTTTGGAGGTCTTCATATTCTCCTGAAGGTTGCGTGGAATCCTGTCTGTGTTTCCTGTCTGCTTTCAGGAAAGCCCAGTCAGGATAACTGCACTGCTCCAGGGCATGTCGATTTCTCTTTCTCCCTGGCTCCTGGGTTTGTAGGGACACTGTCTGCTCTGTGGTACAGAGTCCTGATCACTCCTAACTTGTGTTCCAGTGGGTGGTGGGAGTCAAAACGCAAATATTGGTCTGTGTGGGTGGGCTTACGATATACGCCAGTTTCCAACCGTCCTCCATTCGAGGAGGACGTTTTTTTTTTTTAAATTTCCTCAGAAATTTAGCAACATGGACCTAAAAAGCAGGTTTTTCACAATTCACTCTGCCATTCTTGGATCTCATCTTTTAAAGTTACTGATGATCTCTTACCATCTGGAGCCAGATGTGTGTGCTCTGTGCCGGCAGCCATTCGAGGGGTCCTGGCGGCGGCGTGTGCGGCCTGCGTCGCTGCGCGGAGTTTGGACAGCGTCAAGGCCTCGCCGTGGTCCCTCAGAGAATGCTCCTTCAGCTGGCTGATGGTCATGGTGGAGAAGGAGCAGGACAAGCACCTGTACGTGTGCTGCTCGCCTGAACGGGGAGGACATATTTTTTTATAGGGATACAAATCATTTTAACATAAATAAAAACCGAGCATATGATGAGGACTAGCAATAGATGTCGATAGAAACGACTGAACTGTAAAACTAGTCAGGTGAGCCATTTTTACCAACCGGTCACATCTTATTCAAATACAAATTAGAGCTAATTTTACCGCTGTGAGGTTTGAAGGCACCCGTGAGAGATTTAAAGCATTTTCTTACTGTTTCCTTTCTCTGTGTTTGCTTTAGCTGCAATAAAGCAAGCAACATTCTGAAGAGTGGGGCTGTTACATCCAAATCTGATCTGACTGTGACATGGCCTTACGTAGGTCAAGTTCTTTCTTTTTGAGGCTTTTTCTTTTTTCTTGGAAAGAACATCTTGTTCAGAGCACGACAGTTCCTACGTCTTCATGCACAGATGACAAATGTGAAGTTGCTGTTCATGCCTCATGGATACAGCTGTAACTTAAAGTAACTGTGCGTGTGTGCGTGCGTTTGGAGATACCTGTGTGAGCCTTATGCAGGTGGCTCTTCAAACGACTCAAGTAAGCAGATTTAAAGGGACAGAGCTTGCACTTGAAGGGCTTGTGGTGACCGTGGTGGGACTGCACGTGTCTGTCCAGGCTGTTATGACACAAAACATGACGAAGATTAAAGCCGAGCATTCCTTGGAAGAATCATCACCTGCTGCCTTTCGAGCCAGGGTTTTAAAATAGGATGAGATGCCATGCTCAGAGTATGGGTTCTGAATGACTCTCAGTTACTACCGCATCAAATTAGAGCTATTTGTAAAACCTGGGTTGTGGCCAGTTTTGTGTTAACTAATATTTAGCTGTGATGGCAATTATGAATTGGATTGATGCTAAAAGCTAATCAGCTGTAGATGTACATCCAAGGAATACTTTTATTAAGTTTCATTGAACTCTGTTAAGTGATTCATGAAATATTTTGTTAACAGACATGGCTGATGATAAGAGTTAACGCTACGGTTTTAAGCAAAGATTTCATGTAATGAGAAGCACTTTGAATATGTGCTGTACATGACTCTGTGCTACATACCAAACCCAATTTTAACTCAATATCTGTAAAAGTAACTGAACTACAGACTTTTGTGTGTTTCCTAGGATCAGTTGGCTGTGGTGGACAACTTGAATTGAAGTGGCTCCAAAAGTTAATCAGTTGTAGTTGCGCATCAAATGAATATCATCTGAAAGTTTCATTCAAATTTGTCCAGTGATTTATGTGATATTTTGCTAACAGACAGACAAGGGTGAAAACATTATTGTCCACCTTAGATTTTTGGCTGCAGGAGATTAAAACTAAATCCAAAAAGTGGGTGGAGGGGATCAGATTAGAAGATAAGAGACATAAAAAAAGTGTTTCTGTCACGGTTCACACATTTTTAAAGACTTCATTATGAGTAATAGAGTGAACTCATCTACCCACAATCCCCTGCAGGGAATACGTGTGTTCGTGCCTGCAGGAACGCTCGCTGTTTTTTTTTTTTTTTTTAATGCCAGCCTCTGAGGTGGCATGGGGAATGCTGCTTCTTTCTGGGTCAGGGCCCATACAGTACAGAGAGATTACACCTGGGAGCTCAGACGAGATGAGGATTCTCTGTTTCCACCGTGCGCTCACTTCGCGCCGCTGTGGAGGATCAAACAAATCACACGACCAAAACGTCCGTCCGGCTGGTCCGTTTGTCTTTTTCTCCCGGCAGGCGGGAAATCTCCAAGAAGATTGAAAATTCAGAGGGATTGAGATTGGGTAAACAGGATGAGGTGTAAAACGGAGCTCGGAACAAAACAAGTTCAAACAGCCAGGTGATCTGAAGACCAGATGGAGGCGCGAGTGCGAGGATAGAAATTCGAGCTACATGTCGGACTTGTTTGGGTGGTCTTATTCGTTTTTAATCACCTGCTGCTGATGGCAAAACAGCAATACTGTTTTTAATCTCGTCTCTTTGTGTGTAAATATCTAATAATAAAACTCTCAAGAAGTATTTATAGGATGTAACATTTGGTCTCAGCACAATTCAAGATGGCTTCCACAGCACTGAGACCTGCAAAATATAAAGAAATGACTGTAAATCAGTCAAATTTATAGATAGTGTGCTAAAACTTGGTGTGGTAGTAGCTGAGATTCATTCTTAACTTAAACTCCAAGAGCTAACTGATTATGTAATATCTGCCGTTAACTACTGAAGTAGAGTCTGTTAGTACAACATCCCATGAACAACTAGGCATATTTTAATAAAACCATTAGAAAGCAGATTAACCTTTGGAGTCACAATGTAAGGCCCTGTCACACTAGAAACTTATGAGAACTTACGAAAAATTTAAAGACATCTACGTTGAAGATGGAATTGAAAAAAAAATCAACCGGAAGCTCCTATTAGACCTGCACATTCTGTAATTCTAGCAAATTGATCAAATATACAACTTTTATTAGCAATTTAGACATAAAAATGTTTCATAAGTTGGTATAAGTTGTCTAGAGTGACAGGACCTGTAGGCTGGAACTTGTCTAATCTCACAGATTTTGAGTTAGAATTAGGTGTAGGAGTAACTGAGAGTCATCCTCAACACATAGTCAGAGCTAACACATCTCATATGAGACAAAAAAAATAATTTAAAAGATTTGATCAAAAAAGCCGTAACATTTTTTTCATTACTAGATGATCTTAGTTGAAATGAAAGACGGTGGGTGATGTGCATTATTAACGGATCAAACAAATCTTTAAACACAACTAAAAACTGCAACTATAAACACATGACAGTCTTCAGGTGTGAGTACACACCGTGTTTCATTTAAAGCTAAAGAATCTCACAAACTCAGATGTTCAGGACTCTCAGGACCTGGACGGTCAGAACAGACTGATGCTCGGTGTTCTTCTGCACTCACTTGTGTCTGAAGGGTGAGACGAACTGGCAGTACTGGCAGCTGTATTTATCCTCGCGGGTGAACAGAGCCATGGCCGAGTGGCTCCTCTCGTGGGACCTCAGCCCCTGCATGGACATGAAGACCCGGTCGCACTGGGCGCACGGGTGGCCTCCCGCCGCTAACCGCTGACTCAGCTGGCCCTCCAACACCACGGCTCTGGCTGCGGCCACGAGGGCCGCCGATCGTCCCTCCACGGCGTCCGTGTCGGGATCCAGAGCCTCCAACTTGACGTCGTCCATCCCGTCGCCACCGGAAGCTGATGACGAAGCTGCGGCGGGGGTCTCCACGCCGTTGGCTTCGGCTGCTTCATCCTCCTCCAGGTCGCCGTTCGTCAGGCTCTTTGAAGGCGGAGTCAGGAGGACCTCACTTCCTTCCTGCTGCAAAACCAAAAACAAGTCTTAGATTTAGCACCATTTTGTTCACATGTTCACACTGGCTGTAAGCTGTTCTCCATCTGTAGTTCTAAAACGCTCTGTGGAGTTTTTCCCCCCAATAATGGTACAATTCACCAAGAATGATTTCTTTATTATATGTCTTATTATTATATGGTGTTGAAATGTGTTTTGTGATTGGTTTGGAGTCTGTCATCAACAGCACATTTTTTTCTGTTAATAAAGTAAAGAGACATGCAACACAATTAGCTTTCTGACGCCTCCGGTTCAGAGCAAACATCGACTGTGAAGCTTTAGTTGGACTTTTTTCCTCACTTGGTTCACGTGACTGTTTTACAGGGGAGATCAACTCATAAACACCAGGCTGCGTAAGCTTACATCCTCGCTTAAAATGCTTCTGTTTCCTAAAAAGGTTTCATCACCAAGCCATTTCTTCTAACTAAATAACCAGCTTTGCAATTTTCCACACTGTTTACCAAAAACAAGACAAGTTAACTCCCAAATAAAGCCTCTCCATCTACTGCTACCCCCACCTCATCTGCTGCAGAGCAGGCCAGTCGCTCAGGCCCATCACTAGCAGACAGACAATCACCATGACTTCTTTTTATTGCCTGAAGGAAACTCATTCTTTCTGTGGAAGGACCTGACCCTGCACTCCATGCAGCCATAAATAAGATGTGGCATCTGCAGACCCAACCTTGCCATCCAGTTCTTGAATTCTCTTTCAGAACACTCTTCGTGCATCACGATAAAAATAAAAAAAACAGTGCAATTTCTAAATTAAAACAAAACAGAAACAAAAACAAAAACAAACAAAAAAAAACCCACTTCTTATTCTATTCACTGGTTATTTTCTTGTTGAGCAGAAAATAAATAGACCAGCTGAAATAGAGCTACTCATTTTGCAGCAATAAAGGTGACTCCTCCTTTGGTCAGAGTTGACAACCCATCTACCAAGAAAATGTAAAACTCCAATAAACAGACCACTAAAGCACCCGGAGAATGAAACAGAAAACACAGACCCACCAAGAGCGCAGAACAAAACTTGGTAAAACTGAACAGAACACTAAACTGTAACTTTTAATAAGGTCATGTACACAGTGTACTCCTATTTAAGTGAAAATGTTTGACCTATGATCAGAAAGAAGCTTATGAATGTTGAACTTCATTTCAAAGAACAGAATGAGGAAATTTTATTCATGCAGCTCCTGTCAACCTGGCTGACTGAGAACAATTATATATAATAAACTTCGTCTACAGAACAATACTTGTTAAATTACATTTTTCTTGAGATTCTTTTGGACAACCAAAATGTTTTGCGGACAACCAGGTTTTGTAAACAGGTTGTCTGTTGGAAAACCTGAAAAATTTCCTTATGTCCACCTCTGCTAACTATACATTCACATGAAGTCACATTTCAGCAGAGTCTAATTTGATTTTTTGCAATGTTCATGATTTTAAAATTAAACTCTCCGCACGTCTGTTTGCACAGTTTAAGGTCATTTTTTTCAGTTTGTCATTGCGATTACCGACGTTGATGAAACAGGAAGTGATGTAATGTGTGCAACATGTGGACTTCCATACTCACTAAACAGAACTGAGAAAAACATCTTCATAATCTGTTTAATTCTTTATGAAGCCACTCTGACATCTGTGCTGCAGGCTTTTTCTTCAGGAACTGTGTGACTGTTGGGTGTTTTTATGTAATCAGATTCAAGTAGGTTTTTTTTCTAAAACTGGATCTGTGTGAGTAAAACTGTAATTAATTAGTTTTTCTCATTTATATAAGAAACTCCCCAACTTTCTACTCTTCAAGCAAAGCTATCCTACAGTCTGTTTCTTTGCATTAAAACAAGAACAGGAATGATATGAGAATGTTTAATATTCTTATTGGACTGCAGGCTGAAAAACAAGGTGCTTTTATAAACATTCATTTCATTTTTTAATAGTTTATACAGTTTTTGTACAAAAAACCCATTTTTGGTTTGATACAAAAGCTAACTGCTGCATCACCACAACTCACCTTTCACAAACATTTTATCTTTTTTTTCAGAAACAAAAAATGAATAATAATTTAATTTATTAAAAATAAAATCTAAATATGAGGTCAATTTTATCACAAAATTACAGCTTTATTTGTTTTTGTCATCGTAAAACATTTTTCTGGTATAATTTAGCCTTTTGATTCTTGACATGACATGAATGACCCTGTTATCTGAATAAATCAACATGTGTCTATGTATACAGTGTGTGTATATACAGCGGGTAAAATAAGTATTGAACACGTCAACATTTTTCTCAGTAAATATATTACTAGAGGTGCTAATGATATGAAATTTTCACCAGATGTCGGTAACAACCCAAGTGATCCATATATACAAATAAATCAAACCATAAATGTCCAGAAATGAAGTTATTTGTAATAATGTGGAATGGCACACACACATATACATACATACATGCATACATACATACATACATACACATACATACATACATACATACATGCATACATACATACATACATACA